TAAGCAAGTGTTGAAACATATATGAAGTATAACAAGAAAAAACTCAAATTTGTATCAATATACAAAAATCCGTACCAATGTAAACTACTTTTTAGTTTAAAAGTAGATCCAATAATCTACCCTTTTATCCTATCTCTATGCCCCCTTTTTTTCAGAACAAGATCCCTGAATCTAATCTCATATGTTCAGCTTTTTTCCTGACCATTACCAATATCAACTTGTAACCAACACCCCTAAATGATGACAAATATCCATATCCCACTGAAAGACCAGAAACTGCCGTCCCACCTCTTGGGAATCTGGGCATTGATCTCAGGGTCATGGGTTCATGCCCCACATTGGGTGTCAGATGAATTGTTAATCTAATTAATCTTTATCAACAAAAAAAAATCAGGATTCAAGCAATAGTGGAGAGGGTGCCTGAACTGGCTTACCCCAGTAATTAGATCAGTGAATACCATAACTGTCATCATAGAGCCTTCATCCAGTAACTGATGGAAGCAGATGCAGAGATCCACAGCCAAGCACCAGGATGAGCTCCAGGAGTCCAGTCAAAGAGAATGAAGAGGGATTCTATGAGCTAGGGATATCAACATCATGATGGGGAAAAACTACAGAGACAGCCAAACCAAACTGTGGGAACTCATGAAATTTAGATCAACATCTGTGGAGCCTCCACAAGATTGGACTAGGCCCTCCACATGAGCAAGACAGTTGTGTATCTTGGTCTGCTTAAGGGGCTCCCTAGCAGTAGGATCAGGATCCATCCATGGTACATGAGCTGGCTTTTTGGAGCCCACTACCTGTGGTGGGATACCTTGCACAGCCTTGAGGCAGGAGAAGGGGCTTGGACTTGCTTCTACTGAATGAACCAGGCTCTGTTGACTCCCCATGGGAGGCCTTACCTTCTTGTAGGAGGGGAAGACTGGAGGGGTGAGAGGAGGGAAGGTGATCTGTGATTGGTATGTAAAATGAATAAAAAATTTCTTAATAAAAGAATAATAGGGAATCACATATCAGGATAAGAAGCTGAAAGATCAGAGAAGTGGGAAGCAGCAATTAGTCACCTCCTACCTCTTCTTTTACTCTGTTCAAAAGGGCTGGGATCCTCTTACTGCCCTGCATTACTACTTCCTGTCTCCTCTCTGTCTCCAGTCCTCCAAACCTCTATGGTTAGTTTAGGTCAGCTAGTGGCTTGCTCTGCCCTCTGACTCCAAGCAAGCTTTTTTGTCAGAACACAGTCAAAATGTTACACAACCTGGAGTTGGCACAGAGTTAAAGTTGTAGGTAGGTTAAGAGAAATATCCACTGCTGGGTATAATGGTTCCTGTAGTGTTTTTAAAATAAATTTTGAATAAGGGAAAGGATTAGGAAAATTCTATAAAAATGAATTTAGACACACAGAGAAACAAGTTCAAATTTAGAGGCTTTTTTGATATGCATTTTGCTTATATTTCTAATTCCTGATTGATTCAGTTAAAAAATTATTTACAAGCCCCTACCATGTTTAGTTTGTCTTTGCGGAGAAAATTTGAACATCACTTCTAGGCCCAAACTTGGTATTTTATAAATGGAAAAGTGGTCAAGGAATTTAATAAATTCATATCCAGGGGCTGACATGAATATTTGGAAGTATGATAAATCCACAAGAATGCATAGGGAATATATTCCTGTAACTGTTATGTCTAGTACCATGAATGGTGACTAGTGAGGACTTGAGAAAACATCCAAGATTTCTCTAGCCAAAGCTATTCACATAATGACCAAAATGTATTAGTCAGGCACACTTGAACACATAGAGATTTTTATTTTTTAAAGAATAATCTCCACAGATTCACATATTATCTTCTTTATAGAAAAGTTAATGTGACTTTTAAATTTTGAACAATAAATTTACTTCTTTTATGTGCTCTCCTTGTATACTATAAATGATGTCTGAAAACAAAATATTTATTGCAGTCTGATTATTATCTCATTGACCCAACAAATACTTTGATGATGGATTTATTGAGAAAAATTGAACAGTTTCTATATATCAAAAAAATACTAGGGAAAACAGTGAAGTGGATTGCCTATAGCTCATCAGAATACTTAATATTGTATTTCAGTCACCTTAGATAGCTATATTTCTTTGCAGAACTAGAAAGTTTGAATATTTCATTTTTCCATTCTTCTTCAAAGTGTATTCTGCATTACAATTTATTTTAAGAAATGTGTGAGGTGTGTTAAAATGTAAATTTTAGGCTTTTTGTGAGGCCCTTGAATCTTTAAGCAGCACTTGAATCTTTTGATGCTAAAAGGACCTATCAAAGACACACACACACACACACACACACACACACACACACACACACACATCCACACTATCTAAAAAATGAGAATAGGATTTACAAATAAATTCAACCAAAGAAGATCTTAGAAGTTATAGTAGAAACTAAAGTTGGTACCTGTGAGCAGTGACCACAGCTTCAAACCACTCAGAATTTCCATATACAGAGAGTAAAACATATACCCAACAAGTCTTTTGTTAGTAATAACTGTATGTCATTGTATGCTGATACTTTTCAGTTAAGATGGCTGACCTCAAATGTGACTTGTCATCTAACAAATGATTGTTATTTCTCATTTAAATCAAATACACACACACACACACACACACACACACACACACACACACACACACATACACAGCTGTATTGGAAATCATGAAAGCAAATCATCAAGTAATTGAAACGGGATTTACAAAAGTGTAAATATAGATCACCATGCATGAGTCAGAGGGAGCTGGGAAAATCCAGAGTAGGTCTTTGGGACTGTATTCTTAAATGATGTGTAGGTTAAGTAGTTTCTGTGGACCGAGGGTTGAGCTGGGTTCACAAAAAGTAATATTCCTTTGAATGAGGTCTTAGGTACTTCTTTCCATTTCTTTGGGTAAATGCTAGAAACAAGCTAACCACTCCATTAGGGTAGACGTAGTATGTGTGTACACCACATGTATGTCTGTTACCCAAGGAGGCCAGGAGAGAGCGTCAGCTGACCTGGAACTAGACCTATGATGGTTTTGATCCTCCATATGGGTGCTGGGGACAGATACAGGGTCTCTGAAAGAGCAGTAAGTTCTCTTAACTTCTTAGCATTTTCTCTAGCACCAACTTATTTTAAAATCTATCTTTCTAGAAATTAGTCTAAATCAATGAACAACACTTAATTCATTTCTATCTTCTTTTCTTAAGCTGTTAGTAGACTTTCTATTATTGCTTAATGACTAAAATGGATGTATCTGTGAATACACACTAGGTGTTTGAGAATCAGCCTTTGTGTCAATCATTTTGATTATTGTCAACTCTGTATCTATAGTAAAACCTCTCTTAAAACAGTATTGTTTGGACTTATTTTATCCGTGCTTGCTACATTCTCATACTTTCAAAATTACAGAGTTATACATGGGGTGCAGGATCTTACCTATCATAAAGATATCATGTTTTTTTTTTGTACATGAAACACCAAGTTTTACATGAAGTTATACCCCAAAATACTTTAGTCTTTATTTTATATACTAATCATCCTTCATTTTTTAAGGCATTTTGTCAACATTCAGTAATGCACATTTTCCTTATGTTTATGTTTTAAGTTCATTTAGTCAGAACATATAAACAATTAAGTAAAAAAGTCCATTTAAAACTGCTAGACATGTTTATACCATTAATTTTTTGAAATTAACATTGAAGTTACATGACTTTTCATAATCCTTGTTTGCACTGTGAATATTTGAAAGATAACATTGTATAGAAGTCTCAAACTATAGTAACTTTTTGAAACATTTTGACACATAGTGAGAATTGTTCTGATGACAGAAATTTTATTCCTCAGATTATTTACTTCCATATTTTTATGTTACTATTATGTATGTTTGTCATGGTGATGACATGACCATGTAGTTGCCGTACTCTGGTTGGTTGGGATACAATGCATGTTCTGTATTTGTTACTGTTTGGTGACTGTGATAAACATCTTGACCCAAAACAAATTAAAGAACAATTTATTTTGGCTTATAGTTTTGGAGGAGTCGATGTCCAGATGGAGGAGAAGGTAAGGCAGCAGGAGCAGGAAGCTGAACTATCACATTTCAGCCACAATCGAGAAGCAGAAAGAGAGAAGGAAATTGAATGAGGCGCTGATGCATCAAAGCCAGCCCCCATTGATGTGCTTCCTCCCACAAGGCCCAATCTCCTGATGGTTCCAAGCCTTTCCAATGTTCCAATTAGAACCACCAACTTGGGAACAGATTTTCAAATATATATATATATATATATATGCTTATGTGGGATATTTATATATTTATACATTTAAAATACCATTCTCCCTACAGTCCTGCCATGGAATTCTGAGGTGTGGTATAGAGAAATCACTATCAGAACATGACAACTTTAAAGCCAGTTTGGGATTTACCATCTCTTTTTCCCTTCAGCCATCAAGCTTGTAATGTTTCAGAGTGAAGTTGATACAACAAATTGCATCCAAAAGTTAAGATAATTTTAAAAAATCCATAGTAGCTCAAGAAAATACATATAGCATGAAGAATAAATGATTTTTCCATCTTTAAGATAACAATCACAATCTAAGCTAAAGTGATATAATACTCAAAGTGGATTATATCAATTTCATTCTAAAACACCACGTATAAGTGTGATGATGAAGTTTCTCAAGTCAAGGATAGGTAATGGCACTTGCTGCCAACCCAGATGACTTGAGTTTGACCACTGGGACCCACATAGCAGAAGGAAAAAAATGATTTTTTTTTCAAATTGAACTCTGACCTCCACATACATCCTGTGATACTTGCATGTGTGTGGGTAAATAAATAAATGAATAAATAAATAAATCTAAAAAACTGAGTAATTTTGGCTAGCCTATAGTATCCAGTGTTTGGTCAATTTATGGATTCTGCCATGAGAAGGTATTTTGTAAACATATTTAGAGTGTGTATTTATTTGGTGTTAAGTAAAAGACATCATGCTTGACAATATGGATGGGTCTTATCCAACCAGTTGAAAGTTTTAAGAGCAATTAAGGTTTTCAAGGGAGAAATCAATTCTGATGGAGACTGTAACAACAAAATCCTGCCTCAGTTTCCACTCTACAAAGCTAATCCATAAATATCACCTTTCTTTTTACAATTGTGTAGACTAACACCTTAAAGTAAATACCTTATCATAGCCACCCTAATGTATGTCTTATTGGTAACTTATCTTTGAAAACTCTGATTAATACAATATGTTTGGTAAAGTGTTTATTTACTGTACAATTCTATTCTCATTTGACTCAAAGAAATGTAGAGGACAGATATAGAAAAACACACCAAGGGAATATTGGGATAAGCTCTGAGCAATTGTCTTAGGTAATGTATTTATTTAAACTTTCTTTTTGGATATATTATTTTCAATAATGTAATTTCCCTTTGAGATGATGAAGAAATACAGAAAACCTTCTTGTGGTTTTATGATGATAAATGCAAATCTGAGGGGAAAGTATGGGAAAGAGGAGATCTCATCATTAAACTAGAGATGTTTCTCAGTTATGAGAGTGAATAGAAAAGAATAAATAAACCACATTTCAAAATATATCAAAGTATTTTATAAACCTATGGCAGTTTGTTTAAGGAATGGAAAAATTAAATATAAGAATATATATTTTCAACTGTCTTTTTTATTTTTAATACTCTAGATATTTTTCATTGTGCCTTATTCTAGGCTGCATGTCATTCTTGTTTTCTCAACTCACTGGGTCAGTGCCACACCTCAAGACTTCTGCATATAACTTCTTGCCACCAGGTGAGTGTGCTGTAATATCACATAGACTCTTCCATATCCAAGCAACAAAACACAAACATACTTGTTAGATTATTCTATTATTATCTGTTTATGATCACTGAGTCAATTAACTTATATTTGACTGATTTTCCATAAACAATTCTTGTAGATTGCACAGAAAACACATTAGGACAACTGTTTCAGTGACTTACTCATAGGGCTCTTGTCAGAGAATCACTTAAATTATAATATACATGTATGTATGAAATCACAATTAATGAAAAAAGAAGCCATGAATTTGAAAGAGCAAGGTGGGTATATAGGAGGGCTTGGGAGGAAGAAAGAAGAGGGAAATGATGTAATTATATAATAATCTAAAAATATTAAAAATATATTAAAGTATATTAGGTTTCCCCAAAGACTTAATGTCCCCTATTTCCTTGGTGTACACCTGAACTTGAATGATTATAAGTAGCACTAATCAGGTAAGTTCACTTATTTATTTGATTATGCATGCCTACTTGGGAGATTTCTTACTGTATGAGTTACTTTTGTCATTGCTATAAGAAGACACCTGCCCAAAGCAACTAAGGAGAGTCTAGTTGAAGGTACAGTCATCTATGATGAGGAATGTCTTTTGGTGTGAGTGTGAGATACCCGGTTATATTGCATCCACGGTGAGGAAAAGGAAATAATGAATGTGCTCAGCTGCATTTCTCCTTATTCTGTTTTGATTCAGTCAGGGAACCCATTCCACACATGGAGCAGCCCACAAACAGCAAACCATGAAGACAAGCTCAGAGGTATGTATCCTAGATGATTCCAAATCTAATCATGTTGACACTGGTAATTAACTATTATGCTTCACTTTAGGAGGAATGGTAGCTTCTGAGTGTGTGGTAACAGCTATGGTGTTAACATCATAAACCGGCCCTTAGTGTTCATTTGAAGGGTCCTATGTGGCTGGTGTTGCTTTTCACAGATTGTTATATTTAATGTGAAAAAGTGACCTGGCATATGGTGAAGGTACTATGTTATGTCCATCTTGCATATTGAAGAAAATGAGGCACAGAGATATCAGGCAACATCTCCATAGTCATATTGTGCTTATCACCAAAGACTACTTGATTCTATGTCTACTGGTCTTGCAAATAAGAAACTTTTTTTTTCTCTGAATGGTGAGAACTATAATATTCTGATGTATCTGTGTAATAAAATGTTTTTCATTCACATTCTACTTACGTATATATTTTTCATGAATCTTACATATATACTATCTAATCATTACAGTTGCTTTCTTTGCTACAGTCCCTAATTCTACAATGATCACAAATGTATTCTATTTTCATCACAATTAGAGTGATCTGAAGGGAGAACAGGAATCTTTGTATGCCATGGAGACTAGCAATTATTTTCCCTATTTTCTCACCAATATTTTCCATTTTTTTCTGCTTAGTTTCCTACATTTGAAGGATGTCACAAAATTTAGAAGGAGTGGTCTCTGTTTTCTGAGTAACCTGTTATTCACCATATTTTGTTTTTGATATTTTCCTTTTTAGCTCTGTGAATATTCTGTCCTGAAAAAAATCCACCACTAATATGAAGATAGATTTGGAGACACAAGTTGGACAAAGCCAGCCTGAAATGACACAACTCATGATTTGTTTTTCTCTTCAAACAGGCTCAGTGCTGTCTATGGCTAGTTATAGAGGCCACATGTCCTGGGCAAAAATTGTTACTAATGATCTGACAAAGAAAAGTCTCAGAATCAGCTAATTTTAAAAATCACGCTGAGTTTAATATAATTGCTTTAAAACTCATGCTTAGTGGTGGTTTTAATAAGTTACCTTCATTAAAATGTAAAACATGGTACGTAACTAAGACAACTTCTGAAAATAGAGGGAATAAAATACTGGATAGCCCAGAGACTGAAGGTAGAACCAAACATGATGACTGGCAAAAAACAAAATCAATGAAGTGATTCCTAATGATATTCTGCTGTATTAATAGATCTGTGCCTTGTCCAGTCATTGTCAGAGAGGCTTCATTCAACAGCAGATGGGAACATATGCAGAGACTCACAGCCACATATTATATAGAGAGAGTCTAAATTGGAGATTTCTACCCATTTCCTCCCCTTGGAGATCAGGGAAGTGTAGCAGGAATCTTAAATTGTCTTATTAATAAAAACAAACCTGGAGCCAGGTATTGGGGTGAATGCTGGAAGATCAGAGAAGCAGAACAAGCCACAGTTACCTCACCTTGCCAATTCCTCAGCTGATCCTGTTTCCTCAGACTGGAAGCCTCTCAGTCCTTATCCAAAATGAATCTCAGCTGAACTGTTGCTCGAAAGCCTAAAAGCATAACCAGTCAAATGCCTCTAGTTTCTGGTCTTCATGCCTTATATATCTTTCTGCTTTCTGCCGTCACTCCCTGGGATCAAAGGCTCACTTCCTGGGATTAAAGGTGTGAGTCCCCATGCCTGGCTGTTTCCAATGTGGCCTTGAACTCACAGAGATCCAGAGGGATTTCTGCCTCTGAAATGCTAGGATTAATAGGCGTGTGCTACCACTACCTATACTCTATGTTTAATATTGTGGCTGTTCTGTTCCATGACCCCAGACTAGTTTATTAGCGTGCACAATATTTTGGGGAACACAATACCACTACAGGAAAGCCTGAAGAAGAGGGGGAGGAAAGATTGTAGGAGTCAGAGGGCATGGAGGACACAGGAGAACAAGGGCCACCGAATCAACTAAGCAGGGCTCGCATGAGTTCACAGAGACTGAACCAGCAAGCATGGGGTCTGCATGGGTCTACACCAGGTCCTCTGAATATATGTTATGACTGTTAGCTTGGTGTATTTGTGGGACTCCTAACAATGGTAGTGAGTATATCTCTGACTCTTTTGCCTGCTCTTGGGACTCTTCTTCCTGTTGGGTTGCCTTGTCCAGTCTCAGTATGAGGGCTTTTGCCTTGCCTTACTGTATCTTGCTTTGTTCTCGTTGGATGTCACCTCTTGGAGATCTGCTCTTTTCTGAAGAGGAAACATAGGGGGAGTGGATCTTGAACAGAGGGGAAGTGGCAGGGGAAGCTGGAAGGAATGGAGGGAAGGGAAACTATGCTTGGAATGTATTGTATTAAGGAAGAATCTATTTTCAATAAACATAAAAAATAAATAATAAAATAAAGGCTCTTACAAACCCTAACTTGAATGTATTGGCACAGTAAATTACTTTCTGAACAAAACACCAATAGCCTAGGTACTAAGTTCAGCAATTAATAAATGAGACCTTATGAAACTGAAAAGCTTCTGTATGGTACAGGTTACCATCATTAAGACAATAGGCTACAGAATGGGAAAATATTTTTTACCAAGAGCACATGATAGAGGGATAATATCTAAAATATATGAACACTAATAAAACTGGGTATCAAGAAAACAAATAACCCACTAAAAATTGGGTATACATATAAACAGAGAATTCTCAACAGAGGAAACCCAAGTGGCTGAGAAGTACTTAAAGAAAAGTTCAACATCCTTAGTTATCAGGGAACCGAGACTCAAAAGCACTTGGAGATTTCATCTTACACCCATCAGAATGGCCAAGTTCAATAACACAAATGACAGCTCATGCTGGTGAGGATGTGGAAGAAGGGGGGCACTCCTCCACTACTGATGACAGTGCAGACTTGCACAGCCACTATGGAAATGATTGTGATGGGTAATTGCAGAGCTGAGAATAGATCTACCTCTGGGTCCAGCTATATTGTATTTGGCCTTATACCCAAAAGACTCTACTTTCTACTACAGAGACATTTGTTTAACCATGCTCATTGTTGCTCTATTCATAATAGAAAGAAATTGGAAACAGCCCAAATGCTCAACAGAGGAATAGATGAAGAAAGTTTGCTACACTTTCTTTATATTTATACAATGGGACATTACTCAGTTGTTAAAAATTAAAATCATGAAATGCACAGGTAAATAGATAAAGCTAGATAAAACATGTACTGAGTGAGGTAACCCAGACCCCAAAAGACAAATATGTATTTGCTTATAAGTGAATGTTAGCTGTTAAGTCTTCAATAAGCACACTACAATCCATGTTACAGAGGTTAGTTATAGAGTAAGGAACTAGAGGGGGACAAAAGATCTCCTTAGGAAGGGGAAATGAAATAGATAGTTATAGATGAACAGGAGATAAGGGAACTGGAATGAGAGGACCAAATGGGGAGGGAGAAGGAAGAGGAGAGTGAATGAGGGAATGTAGGAAGAGACAGATGAAATTAAGGGACATCTGAGGACTCACATGGAAACCAAATAGTAGAAGCTTCCTAGAATATATACATATATGAAGGAGATTTAAATGGATTTGCCAAACAACAGGGCAGACTGAGCCCAAACTGAACATCTCTCATCACCAATTTGAAGCCTGCAAATCTGGGAATCAGTTATATCTAACCATGTTGTTAGCCAAAGGGCCCTCATGGGCACCCCAAAACATTGAAAGGTACTGGCAATGCTATTGGTTGCTCTCCACAAAGTTATGATAAGGCCCAGTTGCTGAAGACAACACCTATACTACTCATCTACACAACTCATTGAACATGGAGAAGTTGAGCTGATATCTACCTAGAGCTTTGACTCCTACAGACTAGTGTTCATGGTACTGGAAGAAACTCTGCATACTGCCAGAGGAGAGAGATAAACACAAAACCCTTTGATTTTTCAATGATGTCTTGCCTGCAAAATATGTTGGCACAATAGTACCACAGAAGTTGTGGGAGTAACCAACCACTATGTGGTTGGATTTAAGGCCCACTCCATGAAATGGTACTCATCTCTGATACTACTTGGATGACCAAGAACCTGAGACTAGATAGGCCAGGGCCTGGGGAAAAAGCAAATAATACTCTTCTGCTAAAGAACACAGCAACAAAATGATTCCTAATAGCATTTTGCTATACTTATTTATCAGTTTCTCCTCGGTCATCATCTAAAAGTTTCCCCCTGCAGTAGATGGGAACAAATATAAAGACCCACAGCTGGACAATGTGCAAAGAGTGAGAGACCTTGGAACACTAAGTCCCAAATGGAATATCTCTATCAAATCTCTTCCTTCAGCGCTCAGGAAACCCTGTGGAAGAGAAGGCAGAAAGATTGTAAGAGCCAGGTGCGATAGAGGACACCATGGAAACAAGGTCTTCTAAACACTTTAGGACTGATGACCATATAAACTCAAGTACTGTGAGACTGTGGCAACATGTAAAGATCCTTCAGGGGTTGGGGACAGACGACATCCCAGTGGTAAGAGGAAAAGTAGATACAAACTTCCATCCTTAACCCAGAAACCATCTCCAATTGATAACTACATGCGAATGAAAAATTAGTTTTCTCCAACAGAGTCTTACTGGTGTACACACCACTCTTTTATTTATTTGTTTTATTAAGAATTTTTTATTCATTTTACATACCAACCACAGATCCCCCTTTCTTCCCTCCTCCCTCTCTCCCCTAGCCTTCCCCCAAAACCCACCCCCATTCCCTCCTTCAAAAAGGTAAGGCTTCCCATGGGGAGTCAGCAAAGTCTAGTACATTCAGTTGAGGCAGGTCCAAGCCCCTCCCCCTGCATCAAGGCAGGCATATTCCCAGCAGTAGATGGCCAACACAAAATGAACTCAGTCAACGCAACTGCATTTTGGAGGTCTTTTGCCTTGTAATGTTTTCTAAGCGCTCTCTCTCTCTCTCTCTCTCTCTCTCTCTCTCTCTCTCTCTCTCTCTCTCTCTTACATATACTTTGTGTTTTTAGTATGCTTTCTGGTTTTCTGTTTTTATTGGATTTCTATGTCTGAGAACTGTGTCTATATATGTGCCTTGTGCTTTTTCTTTGGCTTTTTTTCTTCTGTTTGTTTTCTATTTAGCTTTGTTTCAATTTTTTTCTTATCATTTTTAGAGAGAGAAAAAAGAAAGGGTATGGGATTTGGATGGGAGGAGAGATGGCTAGGATCTGAGAGATGTTAGTAGTGGAAGAAACTGTAATCAGAATATAGTGTATCAAAATATTATTTTTAATAAAAAAATAAGAAATAAAGACATCCTAACTGTGCTAGTGTCTGATACCATCAGGAGTCACTCCATTCTCATGGTGTTGAAGTTTTGTTATTTCTATCTCTATATAAGAGGCTTCATAATATTTTAGAGACTGATGAAACCACAGAAAGCTGTAGAGTCTACAGATTCATTTCACAGGTAGGTAAGAAATGCAGTGATTTGTCCAAAGCCTTGCACTTGAAGAACCCAATCTGGAATGTAAATACTCAGGTTTCCTCCCTCCCTCCCTGTTGTAAAATGAATTTATTTATGATTTACTGTTAGTAAATATGTGAATTACATGCCTATTTTATGTAGACCTTTATACATAGGGTCACATAAAATATCTTGGGCAAAATGGAGTCATGAGTAGACTAAACTGGAGGAGGGGAAACCATAATCAGAATATATTGTATGAAAAAATAGGGATCCTTGACCCAGGCGCCTGGTGTTTTTTTGTTGTTGTTGATTTTTTTTTTTTTACACTTTTCTACTTGTCAGGTTGCATAAGGTTTGCAATAACTTGTTTTTATGTTAATTCTTATGTTAATTTTTAAGTTAATTTTTGAGCTGTCCGTTTTTAGTTGGCTGACATTTTCTTCCTGAATCCAGCAGTCTCAAGGTAGAAGCACACTGTTGTGTTACTCCCCTCCATGGTTTCTGGTGACTTGTTGGCTGACATCTCTCTGTTGTCATATAGGCAGATCCTCAGATGTTATAGTGTTATTCACAATTCCATATTGTCACTAATTCCAATAGGCTTGTGGCTGTCTTTACTTATAGACAAGTTTTATAACCTCAGAGAGTTATGGAGTTCCCTTCTAATATAATTTCCTGGGTTGTTACAGCATTGTGTTGATTTCACTTTCATTTAGGCAACAATCAAAAATATATACATAGAGTCCAAAAAAGAAAACATAAAAATAGACATTTGTCTTTAAAAAAGAAGCACAATTACAGATTTCTTTGTAATTTTTACTCTGTGCTTATACTTTACCTAATATGTCTTTGGTCTAGAATAGAAAGGAGACAATAATTCATTTAATCTACCATATTTCTTGTTCCAAAAATCAATGGAAGAGATGGAGAGATGGCTCAGTGGGTAAGCATGCTTGCTACGCATGCCCGAGAAACTGAATGCTTGTAATCTCAGGACTGTTGGGGGAAGAGACTGGAGAATTACCGGGCTTTGCCAGTCAGCCAGCATAGACAGAAAGGTGAGGCCCAAGTTCAATAAGAGACCCCTGTCTCAAGAGAATGGGGAGGAAGAAAGACAGTAGGGGAGCACATCTGATATTTCCCAATTTTCTTTCCTGCATATTCATAAGGGTGCATACCACACACACACACACACACACACACACACACACACACACCATACCACACCAAAATAAAAATAAAAACCAGGGAAATGTTAATAACGAATGATGACCTTTATTGTAATTAACCAATGGAAGAAATTAATAATAATAAAGGTGGACGGCAGTTCATATGGTCAAAACAGCTGGAGAAGTCACATTATAGACACTGATCACTCTCAGAGTATCTATTTGTATATATTTCTTTCTAAATCAAGGAGATAGGCATTATTGTACATTCTAACTGCAAACAAGATTTCATAAAAATGAAATTTTTTTTCATAAAAGATCTTTTATGATCTTTTTTCTAAATTTTAGGAGAAATGAAAACAAAAGAGGTAAGGTATTTATTCTTTCTACTTTTAACTCCTAATCAGTATAATGTAGAATTCCTTATTGTTCATTTTATTACTTATTTTTAATTGTATGCATTAATCATACAAACTATTTTGATTCATGACGACACTTTCATAAACATACAATATATTTTGGTAATATTCTCTTCCCCTTACCCTCCCTTATTCTCTGTCCCTCTCCTACTGGTGTCATTCTCTTTCCTAAATAATATCCTTTCCACTTCCTTCTTTTAACTTTTGTATTACATTTATTTACTGATTAGTATGTGTGTGTTTGTGTGTGTGTTCACATGCACTTGTGCATGCATCGACACACATGCATTCCACAATGCATACGGACTCATCTTGG